CTCTTGCAAGTGGCATCAAGATCCTCTTCCATAGTGTGAGAGTAAGTCAAAGTGTCGTTGACACCTTGGACGACAAGCATGGGAGCGGCTAGTGCATGCGGTCCAGCTCCGTTGTAGCGGGTCTGCCAGTCCACCAAATCGGGGTGTGTGAGCCAACTCGTGTTCTTGTAAAGTTGCTCCACTGTCAGCTGACCAAAGACGGTACCGCCAGTGGGGAGGCAGCCTTTGTCTGAGATGGGAATGAGGCTTGCGACGATGTCGCTGACGTAGTCTTCGACCTTGATGGAGCTGTACAGCTTGGAGACGGACTGGAGGCAGTAGACAGACACAACGTCGCCGACTGGGCCCCCGTTGGCACGTTCGAATGACTCGGGAATGAGACTGAGAGGGCGGAGGGCCGGAGCAACCGAGACCGCACCGAGAAAGCCGCCGCTTGCCTTGCCATCTCGCGCTTCACGCTCGTTGGTGCGCCATGCCGTTAAGCCGCCCTCGCTGTGACCGATGACGGCCCACTCTTTGGAAAGACGGTCGCCTAGGGCAGCACGTGCGGCCTTGAGGGCATGGGAAACATCGGCGGCGTGAAGGGCCCCGGCCTCATACATGAAGCCTTGCGGGATGTCGCTACCGAGTCCTGCGTAGTCGGGGGCGATGACGGCATATCCCGCCTGGGCCAATGGAAAGACCCCTTCCCACTCGTAATAGAGGGCCTTATGGTTTGTAGGGGCGCATTGGCGCTGAATTCCTGCGGTACCGTGTGCCCATGCCAAGGTACGGAAAGGCTTGTCATTTCCGAGAGGGTTTGCCCATGGGAGTAGGGCAAACGCTGTTGCGGGAATAGGCTTGCCATCGATGTCCTCGCTCATGTAGAAAAAGCGAGAAAGGGACATCCCTGCGGGGATAGTCCATATCTTGGAGGCCTGCGTCGCGGTAATATCTTGCCATTTGACGAGGTCACCAACGGCGTAGTCCGAGAGGTTGGAAGGATTGGAGTAGAAAGAGTCGAGTTTGACATCAATGTTGACCCAGTTGCTCGTGTCGTAGACTAACGACTTCCGGATGGCAGATTCGCAGTCTGCATCACAGACGTCGCGGAAATCGGCGGTAGCGACTCCGGAAAAGAGAAGAAGATAGCCTATCGAGGCTAACGCTCGGCTGGACAAGACCATGATCAAGTTTGGAACGTACTGACTGTTGCCCGATAGTGATGATGGAGTGATGTGGATGGCAAGAAGTCAGAAATCAGAAGAAAAAGAAGCTTACTTATAGTTCATCGTGGGCTTGGCCATCAGCTGAGTCCAAGTCTTTATTGTTCCAATAACTCCACCAAGATAGGAACGAAATATCAAGAGATAGGGATGACCCAGTACCGATGCCACTGCCGACGTGATAGCCCCTCCCAACAAGGTTAAATATTGAGACCCTGGAAGACGATCCGCGATGGATGGCATTCCTTTTTGAGGAAGCTGCAGCTGATGTGGAGATGCAATATCTAAGTCTAGAAGCGAATGAGACCTCGTTGGGCAAGATGACTCGAGGCTTGTGAGGCTGATATCGTTCCTCAGTCAAAAGGAATCTTCCTCCTGGAAACGAGAAAACATCTAATTGCCTGTCGGTTTGTACTTAACGCGACGTCCGCTTTCTATCGTTGAGGCGTAAACCACGGAAGAAAATAAACTTGGACAGAGAAGAACAGAGAAGAAAAGTGAAAAACAAATAAAATGAGAATGTTTTCGATATCTTCAAGACTTGGCATGTGTGTGGCAGAGAATCGGTGAAAAGCTCGTGGGACCATTTCCAAATATGCCCGCTAACCCAATCCGGTAGGTCGAGCCGCGGCAAGGGGTTCGGGTGATCGTCGTAAGAGGCATGCGGGTGCGCGATGCAACCCCCCGCAGCGAGGTTTGCGGCGGCCGAGGTCTCCGTTGACAAACCAGTTCATACAGCCGACTCAGGACAGTTACCATGTCTCGCTGCCGTGCGGGGAAAAGGCTGTTGACAAAGTTGTTGTCAAAGCGTAGAAGCCGGCCGAGGAACGGGAGGGAAGCGGGGCCGGGCGGGGTCCGCGTTGTTCACGATCACCGGAGGAGGTCTGGGATGGTGGGGGCGGATCTGTCGGGACGGTTGGTGAGACAGCAAGCGATTGGTTTTGTCTCGGATATGCTTAACTGTATTTGATGAGTATGCTTATATCTTGCTCTAGGTCCCAGGTAGTTCCTAAGCAGTCATCTTGGCGATGATCTCACAACATGACTCCATGGTCATTACATGCACCCTATTGCGTCCTCGTTGAGGGACGCCTAAGTTTTTAAGCCCATTGTACAGACATCATAGTCCGAACTTCAACTTTCGGATTTGCCGAGGCAAGAATGCCTCAATTGGATTTTTTTCGGTTTCGCGTTCGCCGCAGCGGCTTGTTCCAAGTCCGGTAACTCAAAAGGAGCACAAGATCAGACGGATAACATCAACCGTGTGACTGATATAAGAACCGATGTGTTTCCCCAAATGATCTGCAGAACCCGACTCACTTCTCGACGTATACTACTTTTGAACAAACCCAATCTTTTTCACGGTCATCAATACTAACCTAATCATCATCGTCAGCATCGCCATATTCACCCAAGCAAGATGAAGTCAGTACGGGTAATTGGGCCAGGGTCAATCGGCTGGGTCGACATCCCCCAACCCAAAGCTGGGCCCAACGACATCCTCTTGAAGATGAAGGCCTGCGGTATTTGCGGCTCCGACGCTTTTTTCGAGGCCGTGGGCGGTGTTCCGCCCCGCCAAAACTGCACACCGCTGGGCCACGAGCCGGCAGCCGAGGTAGTCGCCGTGGGGAAAGACATTGTCGGGCGCGATGTTGACGTCGGTGATCATGTCGTGATAGACACGATGGTCTTCACAGACGGGTATTTAGGGTCTGGCGGTGCGCAGGGTGCGCTGAGCGAGTACGTTGTCGTGCGGGACTACGAGCCTCGGAAACAGCTTCGCAAGATCCCCAGCCACATCCCATGGCACGTTGCCGCGCTCAATGAGCCTATGGCGGTTGCACTACGCGCTGTCAAGAAGACGAAGCCTGAGCCTGGCTGCAAAGTTGTCATTTTCGGTGCCGGTCCTATTGGCTTGGGTTCCATAATGGCTTACCGCAGGCAAGGTGCAGGTCACATTGTGGTGGTAGACATTGTCGATAACCGGCTGGAGAAGGCGACGCAGCTGGGCGCAGATGCAGTTATTAACTCAACCACAGTCGGTGATTTAGCAGCAAAGCTGGTCGAATTGCATGGCAGTGGGACGTTTCCGTGGAGTCAGGGAGTTCGCACAGGTACCGACATCTACCTCGACGCAGCCGGGGCGCCGCCCGTGCCGAAGCAGGTTGCTAGCATGGCAAAGTACGGGGCCACATTCTGTGTTGTTAGTGTTCACAAGCAGCCGACCGAGCTGCATTTTGGGGAGCTTGTCATGACTGAGATGACCATCGTTTTCAGTGTAGGGTATGTCAGATACGAATCACCAGCCGTGCTGGGCTTATCAGTGGGTCGCTAACACTTCGAAATAGATATCCCGAGGAGATTTTTGAGGTCACAGACGACATCATCGAGAACTGGGAGAAGTATGCAGAAATTGTGAGCGACCAGGTTCCGTTTGAAAAGGCGACGGAAGCGCTGGAGCTGGCTAAGACTGGCAAGGCAAATAAGGTTGTTGTCGTTTTTGACTAAGTGATCTGAGACGACCCCAATGCACCTTTAGGATCCATAGCGGGAATCGCTGGAAGCCAGTTACCGTAGTGCTACCGTTGTACAACGGTTGCGAAATCCTTAACGTTACCAGTCGGATGCGAGGCCGCTGATTGGCCGCATCAGCCGCCCCACCAGGGCCCCACGGCTTCCAGCGCGCTTCCAGGGCACTTGATACTGAGCTTTAGTGCCTGTCTTCTCGTAATCAATTGAGCAAATAGCTCAGCAGTAATATGCGATCAATCAGTATACAGCTAATACCCAGAGGATCAGGGTTCAACTTAGACCTTATAAAAGTTGAGTCGCAATTTTTGGCGATAATTTCGAAAAAGTCTAGGACCTCTCACTCAATCACAAATATGGGGCCGGGCTTTTGCCCTGCCAATTAGAGGCTGCTTAGTCACTATCGTTGCACACAGACTAACGTTAGCCCACACACTACCGTCGCGCAACTGTATCTTTCTGGGTAACGTTAGCCCTCAGCAACGGTTGTGCTGCGGTAACTACAGTACTGCCATTCCTAGTATGGATGGGTGGTAAACGCACTTGGTCAGTCGAAGAAACAAGACATTGCCTCTGCGAAGCTTAAAACTCTCTAGTCAAGTCATTGACAACTCATGCATGTGTGCAAAAGATGTGATTGGTAACTAAGAGCTGGATCTCATGCTAGCATGGCGTTAAGATAGCGGCTAGATAACGCGTAGCGATCTGCGTCAACCTAGCAGCGGGGAGCTGGGGGCTGACCGTTGCCCAAATCCTTCACAGTTCAGCTAGCTAGGTAGTTCAGCTGTGCCGCTGCGGTCTCAGCCCCATCAAGTCATCTCGGGCGTTGATGTTCAGTGACATCATGCACGTAAGACAGGGGAATTAAGCACTGCGCCTCGTGTATGCAAGTATTAGCATCCTCCGAGACATCATCAATAAAGCGGATCATCTTGTGTAGTACGACACAAATTGACGGTGTGGCTTTTGGCTTATATTTAGGGAACTGGAGTCCCACCAGACTAACCTTCTTGTCATAAGTTTCTTTCTCGTGGTGTTACTGTTGGTACTACTCAATTCGGCAAGATGAAGTGTTTTACAATTTTCAATTACAGCATCGCTGTGTTTCTCGCGGGGAGCATAGCTGCGACGAGCTCGAGATCTAAGATTGATACTCATGTTCATTTTCTGCCCGACTTTTATAGGCAAGCACTGATGGACGCTGGACACAATCCAGGTCCTGACGGGATGCCAAGTATCCCGGTGAGTACCGCTGTCATCCGCTGAATGAACTTGTCTAATACTCCCCAGGAATGGAGCCCAGAACGCCATATCCAGTTCATGGATGAAAACCACATTGCGAAGTCAATTCTGTCCATATCCAGCCCTGGCGTGTACCTCTCCCCGCCTTCGAAAGCTGCAACCGAGAACGCAACAAAGCTCGCTCGCCAGGTCAACGACTATGCATCGGAGGTCAAGGCCAAGTACCCAGACCGCTTTGGATTCTTCGCGTCTCTCCCTCTTCCAGACATCGCGGCATCATTGGAAGAGATTGAGTATGCCTTTAAAGAGTTGGACCCGAAGCCGGACGGAGTCGTTTTCATGTCCAACTTCTACGGCATGTACTTCGGCGACCCAGCACTTGACCCAGTCTTCAAGGCTCTGGACGAACTCAATGTGACGATATTCGAGCATCCGACCACACCATGCACCGAGGCCAATCATTTGACGTATAGTATTGACGGAGAAACCGCCGAGATCACCCAAGCAGAGTGGCAGGCGCTGAACCGACCAGTCTCAACCCGCTTACCGAGGGCACCAACCCTAGACTTCCCATTCGACACGGCTCGGACATTTCAAGACATGTTCTACTCACAAGTGCCCAGTCGGTTCACCAAGATCAAATGGATCTTGTCTCATGCTGGTGGAGGTCTCATCCCGACGATGGACAGGATCATCAGCTACAGCTTGCCGGAGCATAATCTGACAGAGGACAGAATGAAGGAGACGCTTGCTCGGAGCTTCTACTTTGATCTTGCGGGGCCGTGGCCGGTGACGGAGGCTATTCCACCGTTGATGCGATGGGTTAGCTACGAAAAGCTGCTATTTGGTTCGGATACACCGTTTACGCCGTGGGTCGTTGCAGCTGTTAGTGCTGTGAAGTTTGACAAGGGCCTTCATGAGTTGTATGGGGATTCGGCAGAAGCGACGGCTGTGAGAAGGGGTAATGCCGAGACTTTATTCGGCTGAGAATTATTGTAGCTTCATATTCTCACGGCACTTAGAATGCATTGCAACTGCAGAGAAATTCCCCATCCATAATGGAACGAGCTGTATGTACAACACACAAGCATAACAACTTTGTACAAAGAAAGAAAGCCTGGCTTAAGCGGCACTCCATCCACCTGTTCTGTTGCAACCTGATCTCTCATAAAATAAGCCTAAGCAGTCGCCCCCGAAAGAGTGAAGGAATAGTCCACACCCGTGTTGACCTCCGAAGTCAACGAGAACGGGTCATACAACACCAAGTTGGCCGGCGTATTCGCCACGACCAAGCTCGCCTCCTCGCCGCTGGCAACACTGACACTATCCTGTCCGCCGCTCAGCTCAACATACCGCACCGCGCCACTGCCGGTGTTCCTTACAACCAGATGCGAGGTCAGCTGCCCACTCGTCGTGATCCGCACCGTCACCGTGCCAGACGGGCTCTTCAGCGGGATGATGTTCGCCCCCATGTACCGCGGCTGCCGCGCCGTCTTCACCCGGTAGCTCCCGCTGCCCGTCGAGTCGACGTTGGCGTAGTTGATCCGGCTCCGCTGGCTCAGGAACACGCTCTGCGCCTGGCGGTGGCCGATGTCAACGTACGCCATCCGCGCCCAGTACTTCCCAACAACCTTCGCGACCGTGGCACCTGTGCTCACACGCTGCAGCGTGTGCAGAGGTGTCTCGTTCGAGTTGGCTGAGTATCGCACCTGCAATTGCCGAACCACGTCGCTGCCCAAGCCGGCGAAGCCATCGGGGTTGTTCGTGAGGTACGTCAGGAACGGCCACGCCTGGTAATAATTCCCCGTGTTCACGCTTCCGTCCACGATGACTTGGAACGAGTCCCCAATCGTCTTGATAACATCCATCTCGCTCGTCTCGGGGGTCGCTTGTCCCGCCGCGCTTCTCGCGCTCGCACACAGCGGGGAGGTGAGGTACGTGTCTGCAACCCAGTTCGCAAGCGTCTCCCACCACGCCCCCGTGCGGCCCTGGTTCACCCACGTCTTCTGGTGGTAGTGCAGCCCGTGGCCGAACTCGTGAACCGTTACGCCCGGGACGGTGAGGTACGCGTTCTGCACCTCGAGCCAGGCCATCCCCGCGGCGCCGTCGGAGTGCATCACACCCGCGGCGCCGGGGAGCGAGGCGACGCTGTAGACGTTCACCTTCTGCCAGGGCCCGTCGTCGTCGGTGACGTCGTTGTAGGAGAGGCCGGTGGACCGCCAGCCGAGAGAGGTCACGAAACAGGCGTAGACGCCTTCGAGCATGGACAGCGCGCGGTCGGCGGCGGAGAGGTCGGCGGCGTAGACGCGGAAGTGGGCCGAGTCGCGGTAGGAGGAGCCGCCGGGCCCGACGGAGGGGTTGGCGGTGAAGGAGGCAGGCGGGGCGCGCGCGGCGAGTGTGCGGGTGGAAGAGCGGTCTGTGAGGGTGATGGGGGGGTCAGGAGTGGTGGTGTCGAGGTCAATGCCTCGGCAGATGGGCTGGGATGGGGCTGGGAAGGCGTGGGCTCCGTGGAGGAGCAGGGCCGCGAGGCTGAGTGAGGTGAGCTTTGTCATTTTGGCGGTTGGGGAGTGGGGAGGAGAGGGGATGGGGATGTGGAAGATGCTGATCATGAGCTGTTAAGTCGTGTAGGTAGACGGATCGCACGTTTTATATGTTTCGAGAAGAGGGTAGCTTCCAGAGGAGTGCCATCCTTCGTAACGGAGAAGTCCCGTTTGTTGCTGCCATCGACTCAAATACCCAGCAACAATAAATTACGGAGCACTCGGCGCAATGCCAGAATTCAACTTAAATTCGTTCATCCGATGGCATCCTATCATAGCCGGGTCCAGGTCGATCGCAAATGATCGACCAGTAGGGCTACTGGTGGAAATCGGTTTGATGTTCGGTACGATAACACCCTTCGTCGATATCTCGACCTTGTTAAGGGGTGGAAACCAGGATCCGTCGAGATAGGGGTGGGGGCTAGGATCCTAAAGGAAGGCTCACTTGTGGCCATCACTTTATGATACGACTGATATCACAGTTCCAGTCACATATTGATATCATTTCAGTAGCTCCGGAAACGATCCCGATCACGTACCATCGAGGTCACCATCACAACTGGAAGTTTCCACCCGTGAAAGGGAATCAAGAAAATGTACCATTAAGATGCTATGCCTCGTGTTCCTCGTTCATGTAGGAACCAGTCTTCAGTAGGTAGTATCACCAAGTGACAGAGAGTCTGAACAGTAACAAGCTTAGGTTCACACATCCCGCCGGAGCCCACGGCCACATATCCCTGCCTCACCAAGAGCCCTAGTCCGGGGTATGCAGTCCCTCCTCTGTCCCGGATTAAGTCCAGAATAACCTTAAAACACTCGCCCCCATAATCCAAGCCACTGGTAATAATCCTCCTAGCTCTGCAGCCGTTTAAGCTTACACGCCTTGGCCTGTGTTTCCCAGCCAAAGTCGTGGCTCACATGACGAACGCCAACGTGCAGGGAACGTCACCTCGCAGCGCCTGCTTCCCTCAACTGCCGACAAAAGGAAAGTTGCAGTTGGGTAATGCTTGGGCTGCGATTAAAAGGAAATTTTGCGCGCCAATTGGGATCCATCAGGGGATGAAATACGAAGAAAGCGGTTCGTCCTGGTTAGAGTATGGCGTGTATCGGCAAATGCAGCAAAGTCACCTTCCCAATTCGCGTCGACTTGGCTCTTGGCAGAACACCCCTTCATATCCCGAAATGAGAGACGCACCGTTGAGCTCCGCTGGGGGTGAGTCGGGATGCTGTCCGATCTTGCAGGAGTGCGGCAAATAACAAAGTTGTTCGTGGAATTGTTTTAGAATGTAGTCACTTTCGCATCCTCAGTCAGAGATTTGAGTGACACTTGTCTGTCTTTTGTACGGGCTGCCGGTGTACCGGCCGGGGATGTGGGGCGATTTCGGCCGGAGGTCGGCAGGAAACCTGGGACTGTCTGTGGTAGAGCCGAAAGCACTGTCCCAAGGTTCTCACGCCCAAGGAGGGTTGGAATTGATATGGCTCTAAAAACTTTGTGTGTGTAACTTTCTGCCTCGGAAAAATTGCACAAGTGATCACCGCAAGCGTTGACCCAAACAAGCCGCCTTGCTCGACGATCCGCGACGACCTAAGGGGGGGTGTGACTCGGGATCCAGTCCGGAGCTGCATGATCCCGGGATCCGTCCCCGGTTGCAATTTTCGTATCGTCGTATCGTTTTTATCAAAAGCTCTTGGCCGCAACAAAGCAAGAATCTTCCATTGGCGGCGTTTTTTGGTCTTTTAAATAACAGAAGCAACCGAGCTCAGTAATATCCCGCGCGTTCTAACGGTGAATCTTCAAAGCCACCAAACACAGATGATCGGCGGAAGTTGCAGTTCCGCCTGAAGCTTACCGAGGCGGAGGCTTTGGGGGCCGTCCATTTGCTTGTAGTGGCTCCACCCCAGACGCACGGGTTTGTTGGAATATCTCTGGTCAAGACGTCGATCTATGCCGGTATTTTGCGCTGGTAAGCCAGACTAAGTTATGAATGAAGACGTTTGAGCGTTCGAATCGGGCTGTATGTAGTCGAGCACCTTCCTGTGTGAGAAGCGCATGCATGCATATAGCTGCGCCAACTCAAACTTGGAACTGGCTCAGCAACTTGGACATTGCAGACACCCACTGCCATTGGTCTATATAGCTTATGTTCAACCTCGAACAACCTCCAGTCTGCTGGTGATCAAGCGTCCACACCGGTTTCTTGACGTTCAATTTCACATCTGTCACGATGTGGTCTTTCACCTCTGCTGTCACCCTCCTCCTCCAAGGGTTGCTTGTAGCAGCCCAGACAACCATCACATCCACCGGCAACCCCATCATCGCCGATGGCTCCTACTATTCAGCCGACCCAGCCCCGTTGGTGGTGAACAACACCGTCTACATCCTCAGCGGTCGTGATCAGGCACCGGCGAACCAGAACACGTTCGTGATCAACGAGTGGCAGATGCTCAGCGGCAGCAACCCCAATCCCGCCGGTGCCCAGTGGCAGTTCCGCTCCAACATCGCCCGTCCTGAGTCCATCTTCTCATGGGCTGCCGCCGGGACCGCCTATGCGGCACAGGTCGTACAAGGGCCGAACGGGAGATTCTATCTCTACGCACCCGTCACGCAAAGATCGACGTCCAGCTCCGACCGCTTCGCCATTGCCGTAGCCGTGTCGAGCAACCCATGGGGCCCCTTCACAGATGCGCACCCCAGCGGCCCGATTGTGTCCCAGACAATCCCGCAGGCGAACAACATCCAGAACATCGACCCTACGGTCCTGCTCGACGATACCGGCCGCGTGTATCTCTACTGGGGCACGTTCGGCGCCCTTCGCGGCATCGAACTTGCGACGGATATGGTGACCACCATCGGCTCTGCCGTGTCCGTCAACAGCCTCACAGGCTTCTTCGAGGCCCCCTGGCTGCTCAAAAGGCGCGGGACCTATTACATGTTATACGCCGCCAACAACGCCGGCGCCAACTCGCCGTGCACGCCCACGTCCTACCACGCCTGCATCGCCTACGGCACCGCATCCTCCCCCCTGGGCCCGTGGACGTTCCGCGGCGTGATGCTCGACATCGTCTCCTCAACCACATCCCACCCCGGCGCCTTCGAGCTCAACGGGCAGTGGTACCTCGTCTACCACACCCGAGACGCCTCCGGGGGCGGCCACTTCCGCCGCAGCGTCGCGCTCGACTACATGACCTGGAACGACGCCGCCTCCCCGCCGAGCATCAACAAAGTCGTGCAAACCCGCCGCGCCCAGCCTGCCGCGCCCGCAACGCGCAACATCGCCCCCCGCGCCGTGGCGAGCTCGGTGAACCAGACCCCGATCCAGTACTGGACGAAGTCGCTCAACGACGGCTGGATCCCGAGTAACCCGCTGCCGCCCGATTACTGGAGCTCGTACAACGGCAACGCCTCGCCGCAGACGAATACGCTTGTGCTGACGTGGAGTTCGGCTG